AAGCTGACCTGCTCCAGCAGAGCCAAACCTCCAGTCAGCAGCTTCACCTGGTTCAAGAAGAGCAGAGATGGAGCTGTGAAAGTATCTGAAGGAGAGATTTACAGCTTCAATGTAACAGATGGAGGAGTTTATTACTGTGTGGCCACTAATTATCTGGGTAATCAGACATCAGCAGAGATTGACGTGACTGTTGGAGGTAAAGTTAGGTCGAAACCACTAATGTGTTGCATGTTCTTATCCAATTTTTCTTCATCTTATCTACTGTTGTCTTCTCTTTGTTTATTTTTTTTTTCTAAACAGAGCTATACAAAATGCAAAATGAATCAGTATATGGCTTCTGTTTAACTCTTTAACTGAAATGTTTTTTCATATTGATCTTGTTTTTCAGGAGAGCAGAATGGTAGCTCCTTCCCAACATGGCTAATTCTTGGAGGAATCCTTGGATTCATCTTACTCGTCTGCCTGATTATCTTTGTTTGGTAAATATTACATTACAGCAGAAAATATGATCTCTCACCCTCTCCCTCCCTTATCTTTCCTGCTTGGCTTCTATATCCTTGTCTAATCTCGTCTAACTCTAACCCTCAGTTTCTCTCAGTCTTGTTCTCTAAAACCCAAAGAATTGTGGATCTGATCAACTGGTTCCTCAATGGATATTGGCACTCTACTCTAGACGAAAAGCCTGGGCTCAGGAGTAGGGATGGTTACCGGTGTCCGGTGCCATGACATAAACGGTAGTAACCAGACCGAAAAGCTGCGCACATTTCGGTGCTTTATTTGGGTGCTTTTTTTCCCCTGAGATGTCATACACTTTGGATTCTAGCCAATCATTTTACCTTTCCGAGGATAGTAGGCGGGCCCAGGTATGTACGTTCTTTTAGAGCAGAGCTACAGATTAAAAACGCCCAAGGTGAAGCGGTCAAAAGTCTGGCTGTACTTCACAGCAAAAGATGCAAACTCAACAGCCTGCAACAAGTGCTTTAAGGTGATACTGTGATACTGTGCAACAGAGGTAACACCTCGAATCTGATGAAACACCTGGTGACGCATAGCGTTTTTTTAAAAGCAGAGAAATGCATCGTATTTGATAGCTTGCTGCAAGACCGAGCACCGTGCACATCTACTGCGGGTGTGGTGCCTGTTATCGGACCCGGAGCAACATCCCCCAAGAACCCAAAGGGGAGAGTCCTGGCCCCTAGCCCTGCCAGTGTAGCAGAAATAATGAGGATGATGATGGCAGCAGCAGCCGTTCTTCTCTGGGTCAGTAGCTTAATGTTATTCGTGTGTAATTTACGTTGAGTACGCTGACCACGTTATTACATTAATGCATGTAAGGTGAACTAGCAAACACCGTTGTAGTTACATGCGGCTGACTTCTTGTTTGATGGCACATACTCCCTTCACCCTGGCCAAAAAGACTAAAATGACCAAAGAAAAAGTGGAAAACAGCTAAACATGAGAGGTTTTTGGACAAAGTTGGTGTTTTTCCAATGTTTAAGCACTGCTTCCAGCCAAGAGTGATACCATATATGCCCTATAGCTGCAGAGAAGACTAACATTGTTATCTTTTTACAAAAAAAACAGCTAAACACGAGAGGTTTTAGGACAAAGTTTGTGTTTTCCATTGTTTAAGCACCGGTTCGAGCACCGTTTAAGCACCGGCACAGTTTCAAAAGTACCAGTTTTGCACCGGTATCGGATAAAACCTAAAGGATACCCATCCCTACTCAGGAGAGCCCGATTGTTCTTCAGAGACGTTTGCTGCCGGATACCCGATTGTGTCGCGTGCCTGGTGACACCTGTGATAGAGGACACTGAATGACATCTACCATTCGGAAAGATGATAACAGAGTTCTGGCTGATCAGAGCTGGCTCAGACCTGGCTTATCAAAGAACAAAGAAAGCACTTACAGCTATTCAAAACCTGCATTAGGCTGGCCGACATGATTGACGATGTGCAAGCTGTGAGTACTCAGTGAACTGGACATGTGTGTGCTTAATAAACTGGCAAATTACAGCAGGATTTTCCTATCCTCAGTCAGAAGGCACAGGTGACTTATATGATGAAAGAGAGGGTCCACAGCAATGATAATTAGGGTTCCTTTAATCCAAAACATCTCCAGAAGTGAATTCGTGTGAGTATATGTATGTGTGTGTGGTTCTGTAAAATAACAGAAATTACAATTAGCAAACAATTAAAGTCAACCAAACTGGTCTAAATAATACAGAAAGGGTTGAACAGAAATGACTAAACACCACCCCCTGGTGGACACAAATGGGCTGCTGCACAGGGATAGACTCCATCTTTACTTTGGGCAGCTCAGTTCACAAGGGTAGCGCCATTTTGGTCAAATCAGCGTGAATATACAGTGTCTCGTGGCTACACAAACCGCTGGAAAACTCTATAAAGGCATCACACAATGTACATAGGCAAGTGTATGATAAGTTACAACCATAGAACAAACAAATACAAGGCACTTACTTATCATTCACGCACACGCACGACACATGTTCAGTACAACAGCCCAGCTCCACCAGCGCTATCACGGTGAACCAGCGCAAACACAAACAAAGGATGGGAGGAATGTACCATCTTAGCAGTGGTTAGAGGGGGTCCGTGGAACAGTCTATATACACAAATCACAGGGGTTTTATACACTCAGACTGTGTTTATTGAACACCATATGGGAAGATCTTCAAGAAGTTCACGGCTTTGCAATATGGATAAGATCTTGGAGAAGAACAACAGTATTTGAGAGACCTGGTGACCAGTGACAGACATTAGACCAACTGTAAAATTGGAAGCAGTTTCTTCGCACTAACCAAAACAACTACCATCTCCATCTCATGCGGCCCCCCTGGCACCAGCTGGATGCTCAAGGCAAAAGCTGATGGGAATAACAAAATTCTTCCTTAGATAACAAGACTATGTTGTGACTCTCTCCCTGCTCCTTCAAGGCTACCTGCGTTGACCGAAGGTTGTTGACTTTTTCCCAACCGAGTGAAGGGACACTTTCTCTCGGCTGAACACGGAACAGACACACACGCACACATATGCATGTACTCTGACACAGACCTACACCCCCCCCCACCCCCTCCAAATGCCTTCGAAGCTTATGTCTTCTATGTTGTGAGATGTGATGATTCATGTGCTATGTGCTGAGGTAGGCTTTTTTTCTGTTCTCAAACTGATCTCCCCGTTGGAGCTCAGTCTGGGCGGAGTTCTTTTTTCTCCTCGTCTTTCCTCATGTTGTGCATTTTCCATTGTTTTGGTTCCGGGTCGCTGCTCATGTGGCCAGTGCTACCTAGCCTGACCTGTCTTGCCAGTGTGATGTTTGTATGTACGGTCGGCAAGGTATCATCTATCTTAACTGCCCCTTGGGGATAAATAAAGTGTCTCTGACTCTGACTCTGATACTTAAACAGCTCATGAACAAGGTTTACAAGGTTTAGCTATATTTTGATACCAAGATTGTTTACATAGAGTTTGTAATAGCAGAAAGATACTCTATTCATTTTGGCTATTTGATTTTCAAGCAGGAACCTCAGAAAAGTGAGTGAAGAGCCAGCAAGTAAATCAGAAGGAGAAGAAGGAAACATCCATTATGGAGAGATCAACTTCTCTGTGCTGAGATATGAAGCATCCACTGACTCAGTGCAGTACAGAGGACAGCAGCAGGATACGGTGTACACACAGGTGAAAGTCAAAAAGCACAAAAACACAGAGTGTGCTCACGGCCAAGAGGAACTCTACACTCAGGTGAAGAAAAAAGTAACATTACATTAACACAGTGTATTAAAGAAACATACACACAGAACCTGCACATACAAATGTCATTTTTCCAGTTTAGTGTTGTTCTTAAGTAGTTACTTAAACAAAATCCTGCAGCTTTTTATGTTCAGCTTTAATCTCACACGGCTGTTTTCAGTCGACTTTTTTGTTTAGATTTTTCTTAAATACGTGTAAATAGATGTTGCAGCACTCCAATAAGGAACTACTTTACATGACAGTTGAGACATTTCTGCAGATGACTAGAAACCTCCACTTACAAAATTATTTTAGCGATCATCGTGCACATACAGTATTTGCATGTTGTGTGTGCTCTTGAATGATTTATTATTTACATTGTAGACATGTTGAAATGAAAAAGTTTGTCACAGGAAATTTGTTTAAATGGCTGCAGGCAAGCTGGCATCAAAACATGTAAACTTATTAAATGTGTTCAATAAAATATGTTTACTTAATTTAAAGTGTTTTTGTGTGATATTTAATATAATTTGTGCTGAAGGTTTACTCTGTATTTTGTAATGTGAAGTGCTGGATGTCTTTTTCTTATCTAAATAAGTGGGTAAGAAATTTATTTTGTCTTCAAACTCTCCATGTTTCAAATGTTGGACACTGCTAGGTAATTACTTATAACAGTCAAAGAGACCCTGCCTCACCCTATCATGTGACCTATTGAGAACAACTGACGCAAGACTGTCCAGTGCTGGGAGTGAAAACGAGGAGGTTTGGTTGCAGACACACGTAAAGTAATTGGTTGCTGCATATACCTTGGTACACTGAAAGATGAAGGACAAAGATGGAATTTTTGTGGAATGATTTGGTGTGTGTTGTAAAGGAGTGGTGTATCTGCCTTTTGACTAGCAGAGCAATGATCTATGGAAGCTGGGTGTGGTTCCAGTTTTCTGGGTAAAGGATCTGTGGGTTTTATGAATATAACTTACTATAATAACAGTTTATTTACTGATTGAGGGGGGTGATGGTGCTTTTTTGTCTTTGGACGTTTCAATGTGGTCACATAGTTTATGGACGAATGTGTTGAGATTTAAACCAACAGCATGGAAAACTTTGATCTGGTTGTAGGTACAGCCTTTTAAGATTTAAATCAAATCAAATCACTTTTATTGTCACATCACATGTGCAGGTACATTGGTTGTCAAGGGATTGACAATTGTTCAAACACAGTAAGAGGGAAATGAGACACTGGCAGACCGACTCAGAGTTTCAAAGACGTGCGCACGGGTGAGAGTCTCTGAGCAGACTAACACACCGAGCACCGTTTACTCGCTTTATTTATAAGGCAAAATGGGTTACATAGTACTTCCTCTTTCAACTGAAGAGGGGAGAGCTCAGGCATTGTCTTAGCTATCTAACTTCTGCACACAAACTGAAAAACAACGACACAGCAGTATTCATGCTTATCTGACATCCAGACACTGAAGTAAAGAATGCATGTATATCCTGTCTTTGTCAAACATCTCACACACTTAAGCAAGGAATACATTGTGTTCTTTTCAACAGTAAGCTTTACCGTGTGAAAATATATAAACACTTGATTATAAGGCATACTTGTTTCTACTTGATTATACTTTAATGATTTAACTAAAATAAAAATTCTCTTAACATTCCCTCCTGATGTTAATATATTTCACATGTTTTACTCAATGCATAGTCACTTGTTAGTCACATTTTCAACTTGCACGTCATTCAGTGAAATAATTAAACAACAAGCTTGTCAAGATTGTCATAGAGATTTTCTTCTCTCTCTCCCACACTCAGCATATCATACTGACGATAGGGATCCTCCATAACTGACTGAGCCAAGACATGGTTTCCTAACATACGCTGGAACATGTTTGTCATTATGCTTCTCAGACATGGGATAATACAAGCAATGAAAAGGCAAAATAGTAACATCACACTGAAAAGGGCCAACAGGCCTTTAATCAGTAGGGATTTCCAAGAGCCGCTCAGCAGCCAGTCCCACCAACCTTGAGTATCGGTAACGTAGTCCTGCTGCTGAGCGTCTCTCAGTTGTTTCAAAACATTCAAAGCATTTGTCATGTTTAATGAATGGATGTTATCAGGTATGTAGGTACAACATGTAGTGTTAAACAATACGCAGAGACCACCTTTCTCTGCGAGAATGATGTCTAAAGCCACTCGGTGCTGCATGACAGTGATGCGAATTGCATCAATTTCTTCATTCTGTCCTTGATTAATGCGGGTTGAAGCATTTAAAAATAATCCAAAACGATAGTCCAGGGTTTCTATCTGTAGTGCGTGTTTCCCTACTCCTATCCATGGAAACAAAGCGTGTATTACCTTCTGGCTCTTGGTCCAGAGTTTGAAGTCATCTGGTACATCAGAACCAAGATATGGATCATGGGGCTTGAGGCCTGTGTTACGTTTAGCTCTGGTGTTGCTGTTCACTGACATCTTAAAGGTGTGGTCAGATACCAGAACAGGGGCACAGAGTCCGGTGCTGTTTGGTGGCAGCATGAAATAGACTTTCAGGCCACACGCCCAAGCTGCGCCCTGTACCCAGTATGTACCTGTTGATGAGCCGATGCCATCCCAATCTGGTGCCACCAGGATCATGGAGCAGTTTCGGTTTTGTCCTAATTTCTTCAGACCCTGGGGCGTACCTGTTTGTCCGGTTGCTCCTGTGAAGTTAAAGCACACTGGGTGTTGTATGTCAGGTGGCAAAACAACTGAGAATGATTTCAGTTTTCTATGGCTGACGTTTATATGCACCCAGTAGGCTTCATTGCAGGTGTAGTTTATATTTGGGTACTGGTGGGTGCAGTTTGTTATGTTGTAGATTAGAGACTTTACACTCTGTGGGACTATATATTGTGTAGTGTTGTGGCATGTGTTGCTGTTTTGGTCCTTTATGGATCCACCTATCACCATCACAGGTTTTCCTGGTGTTGAGCAGGTCCCGGTAATGGCTTTGTCATATATGCAGAGTGCTTCAGCCTTGGTTGGGGGTTTTCCATACACTGTGGCATGGAGTGCTGTCGTGGGCATATGTGAGCAGACATAGCAGTTTGCGGCATTGTCTTCTCTGTGCACTCTGTCATGGACATACCGGTACCATGCATTGTTCAGCCACGGGTGGTTGTGTTCTTTGTCTATCTCCTTCAGGTGCGAGTTGTCGTGGGTCCACCTCTTAGGTCGGAGAATAATTGGTACTGTCTTGTGGGTTCCACTGGGCATCAACCAAAAGAGTGCCGTCATCTAGGCCAGTGACTGAGAGCATCACCGAACGATGTCAGCACACTAGAAGTATGTAGCACATGAGTAGTTTTCGTTTGATGTCACAAGCGCCCAAGCACAACAGCTTTGGGGCTGGAACTGGTGCTAGCATTGATTCTGAAGCTGGTTCTTCTTCTGGATTTATCAGGTTGTTTTCCTCAGTCATCTTGTTGAGATTTTATTCAGGCGTCCCTGGTGTTATTATTGGTTCTGCTCTTCGGTGGGATAGGTTCAGTCTGATCTTCAGGGTCGACTCAGGCACAGACCACGAGCTCCCACGTGAGTAGCACTGCCGAGGAAGCACAGGGCGGGAAACCCGTTCAGCCCTGTCCTCCAGCAGGGGTTCACGTAAGAGTCAGGGGAACCGGCGTCTTATTGTGGTGCAAACACTTTCTTCACGTGGGATTGATGAATCCACGAAACTCGTTCGGCTATCTTACACGCTGTGGGTGTGGTAAGTAGCACCTGGAAGGGACCTTCCCACTTTGGAGCACTCCAGTTTTTCCGCTGGAGGACTTTAATCAGAATCCAATCACCGGGGTTCAACCTGCAAGAAACTGAAGAAAAGTCACTCGGCAGTTGATTGCTTAATCTCACTTCTTTATTCTCAAATAGTTTTGTCATCCATTCTGCCATTGTTGTTTCTGCAATAGATTTATTAATTGGCTCACTCATTATGGGGAGTGGAAAATGTCTGCCATGTACGATTTCAAATGGCGTATAGAACTCTGACCTAGTTCCTGGACCTGAGTGTTTATTAATATCTCATCCATGTAGATTTCAACGTCCAAGCTCTATATGAGCATTCAGGCCAAGGTTTTTTAGTCTCTTCCATACATTTCCTCAACCTTTGTTTAATTGTGCCGTTAGTTCTCTCGACTAATCCTGCACTTTGTGGATGATAAGAACAGTGATGTTTTATGCTGAAGCCTAAAGCTTCAGAAACTTTACTTATTACTTCATTTACAAAATGTGTGCCATTGTCTGATCTTATCAGAGATGGAATACCATACGTCGGAATGAAATGATTACATAGACACTTCGCTACTGAAATTGCATCTGCTTTTTTCACTGGATATATTTCTGGCCACTTGGAAAATACATCTATTATCACAAGTGCATACTTTGGAGGATTGTGATTCATTTAATTCTATGAAATCCATTATGGACATTGTTGTGAAATGGATGCGGTGGTATAGGGAAATGCCCTCGCTTTGGACGTAGATTTCCCTGTGCGTTGTGTCTTTGGCAAATCATGCATGTTCTAATAAACTCTTTTGCTGAACTTTCAAAATTTTTTGTATAGAATTGTTTATTAAGAATATTAATCATCCCTCCTGATGACACATGAGTTCTGGAATGTGTCACTAAAGCAGCAGTTTTATGCAAAGATTTTGGAAGGACTGGTTTGCCATTACACATCATGAGGTTGTCTTTTAATTCTGCTCCATCTTTCACCCAAGATTTTTGTTCACTCAGCGATGCTGTTTTCTGTGCATCTGCTAGTATTTCTAAAGGTATTAGATCTATGGTTTCTGTTGTTAAAACATCAATTTGTTTTTCTGCAGCTGCTTTTGCTGCTTTGTCAGCAAAGTTATTTCCTCTTGTTATTTCTGTGTCATCCTTTTGATGAGCTGCACATTTGCATAGTGCTAATTCTTTTGGCAACGTTATTACTTCTAATAGCTTTTTTAGAAGGCTTGCATGTGTGAGGAAAGAGAGGTTCGCTTGGAGCAAAATAGAGGTCACTGCATGTGGGACTTTGATGATCAATTTATGTCCTAGAACAATGTCTGCACATTTTTTAACTGCCTCTGCTGCTGCTGCGCATGCCTGAACACAGGTAGGTAATCCAGCAGCTACAGAGTCAAGTTTGCATGAGTAGAAAGCTAATGGACGTTGTTTTTCTCCAAAAGCTTGAGTTAAGACTGCTTTCATATACCCTCCTGCACCATCAACATGGAGAACGAAAGGTTTTCCATAGTCTGGTAATGCTAAGACGGTACATGTCTGCAGTGCTATTTTCAAATCAACGAAAGCTTTTTCTGCTTCTGGAGTCCATTGTACTTTGTCTTTTAATGCTAGATCTTTACCATAAATGAGGTTCTGTAGTGGTTGAGCTAGTAATGCGTATTCTGGAATCCAGCATCTACAGAAATTGCACAGTCCTAAAAAACTCATCATTTGTTGTTTAGTTACTGGTTTTGGGGCATTTTGGACTGCTATCTTTCTGCTCTCTAACAGCTGCCTGCCTTGTCCTGTCAATTTGTGGCCAAGGTATGTGACTTCCTGGCTCCACAATTGCAGTTTATGCTGTGACACTTTATGGCCTTGCTCTGCGAGATGTTGCAAAACTGTTAATGTGTTTTCTTTGCACTCATCTTTTGTATGGCCTGTGATCAATATATCATCTACATACAACAAGAACTGCCCTGGGGCAGGGAGCGTACAAGATGACATTGATTTTCTCAAAGCCTCTGCATACAGAGTTGGGCTATTCTGGAATCCCTGAGGCAACCTTGTATAAGTATACTTTTGATTGTCAAAGGTGAATCCGAATAACTTCTGTGAGTCAGGGTGCAGAGGTACGGAGAAGAAGGCATTGGACAAGTCTATTACAGAGAACCACCGTTCTTTTGGTGTTACTTGATTTAGAATTGTGTGTGGATTTGCAACCACTGGAGGTATTTGCTCTGTTACCTCATTTATTGCTCTTAGATCATGAACTAAGCGATATTTTCCTGTATTAGCCTTTTTTACTGGAAAAATTGGTGTATTACACGTGGCTTCATTAGTTTTCACGAGAATACCTGCTTTTTGCATCTCTGCTATGACTGGTCTGATACCTTCTTTTGCCTCTGCACTCAAGGGATATTGTGGTTTCACAGGCCTTCTGGCCCTTATGCTGACCTAACTATCAGAGTGTCATTAGAGAATTTCATTTTCACTTGAGGCAATTTTAGATACCTTCTAGTTTTTCAAAGAATTCACACATCTTACATATTTCAAACTTTGAAGTTTTTTGTTTTGTATATATATATTATTTCCTAAACTTTGCATTGTTCATAGCTCACAGTTCTAAAACTGGGCATTTGTAAATCATATGTCTAATCACTATGTGTCACCATAATCCACAAGTATTGGCACAAATTTGTTTCCAAACTAACAAAATAATTCAAACAAAACAAAAACGTACATGAGTCAGGATACAAAGAGACAAAGAAAAATGCTGCCAGAAACAAAGCAGAAGTGTGAGGGGAAACTGAGCTCACAGACAGCTGCATGTGCTCGCTTTTAACAGCATGCAGCCTCTGCTCTAAAAAACAAAAAACAATAAAAATAAAAGAAAATGTGTAACATGCTTATCAACTTAGCGGTGTCCACACATTTAATTCAGCTTCATAATCCTGTAGGTTTAGTTATTATCTACAGGGTTTGGCTTATTAGTTGTTATTATAGATGTGCTCTGTATCTCAGTAATATTTATCTAGGATAAATGACAGGTTTTCAAGCAGGTTAAGTGCCTCTATGCACCTAATTGGTTTAGATATTGCTTTTATTTTCTTCATCTCATATGTCATTATACTGAGTTTGAGCAAACCTTTAAGCTTGATGCAGACTTCTTCATAACAATTGTCCATCTCACATCATACTGGCTAAGATACTTCTTGTCAATATTAATATTATATTTTTATTAATTATTATCATCTTTTTCTCTCTATATAATAACAATAGTGTATTACAATATTTTATTAGTGTATATCACTATATTATTACTGAGCCAATTTAATAGTTAGGATCATCTTACTCGGCAAACAGATAATTTATAGTTCATCCAATCTGTACAAGATTTGCTTTTTTCTCTTAACAGGTTTGTGCCTACTTTTAGACTGGTCTTCTGTTTGCCTCATCTCAGATCCAACCTTCAGATTATTATATTTTATTTTGTATCCATCAGGGACCGTGAGTGAGCTGCAGTCTCACCCACCCTCCAGGATGGAAACATTTATCTTTTCACACACTTTCCTTGGCTGAACAATGACACAGCCTTAATCTACCTTATGCATCTCTCTTTTTTATAGAAAAGGTCTTCATATGAATGATTTCCTTTTATTTATTTCATACAATCTGGGCATGATGGGTCATAAATGCACTGATTTTTGCAGCCACGGCCACTATCTCTATGTGACATAAAAAGGGGATCGGTTAGATGCTGTTTTGTCACATGTCCTGAGGCTGATTTCACAATTATAGTGTTTTTTGAGAATGTTACATTTGGGACTTCTACAGTTAAGACAGTTCTACAAGCTCCTGTGTCTCAAAACATTTTTAACGGCACACCTTTCACATATATTACAACTGCTGGTTTGGCTTTTGACTTTTTTCCACATATAACTCTTTTTGCAAAGCGGTTTTTAAAGCATTTATTGAATCAGGGGTGCATTTGCCTTGCCAAGCTGGACAATATATTTTATGTGGATTTCTCCACCTTTTTGCACTGACTATTCCTGCATTTGAACAGTTTTTTTCTAACCACTCTTCGTCTGCTGTTAATTTTACTTTCGTTTTAGAGTTACCCATTTTAAACTAATTACGTCAGAACTGTGACACTGTCTCTGGTACGACAAAGTGGGCGGGTTATCAATAACAGGCTTCTACTCGCTCGCTAGTCGAGTGAGCGGTTATTGATTTTACGTGATGACGCACAACCTCGTCGTCCCACTTTAACCAGTACGTGAGTGTTCACAGGAAAACAGTTTGAGAAGTGGTTCGACCGCGTATTGGGTCGTAAAAACAACTCACTCCTCACAAACAAAGCGCGTTTCTATGATTTTTATTGAGATTTTCCGTAGGCCTATTTATTTGTGTAACACCTTCACCTTCAGCCACTCTTCTTGAGTGACCGGAAACCTGTTCCGTTACAGCCACTCCCAGAGCGACCGGAACTTTTAATAGCGATTTTTCTAGAATTTCGCTCTTGCCTGTCGTCTTCCTAGTCCCGCATGGACACTGAGATCTGTCGGCGTACCTAGGTTTACACACTACTTAAAGGAAAATCTCAATATCAACGTATTTTAGCGCTTGATGGAATGCAGTGTTTCATATTCACCTCTACTGTGGCGCTGCGTTTTTGGATCCGGTGCTCATCGGGTCCTGGAGCCGTGAAGGCCGAACGCTGACCGGAGATCGAATTCACGTTCCCGGGTTTTTCGTTTTACTGATCAGATTTCTTCCAGCGCAGGCGTCACGACGTCAGGATCCGATGGAGACCGTCTGTGGAAAACTAGACGTTAAAAATAACAGTCAGTTATCCGGCTACGAAGGACCAATTAAATGTCAAGGGATTGACAATTGTTCAAACACAGTAAGAGAGAAATGAGACACTGGCAGACCGACTCAGAGTTTCAAAGACGTGCGCACGGGTGAGAGTCTCTGAGCAGACTAACACACCGAGCACCGTTTACTCGCTTTATTTATAAGGCAAAATGGGTTACATAGTACTTCCTCTTTCAACTGAAGAGGGGAGAGCTCAGGCATTGTCTTAGCTATCTAACTTCTGCACACAAACTGAAAAACAACGACACAGCAG